TCCCACGCCTCGGACTCCCGAATGAGCCCCAGCATCTCCAGGAACGTGGGCGGCCGGCCGACCATCCGCAGCTTCCTCAGGGCTTCATCCAGAGGCTCGGTCAGGTTGGCCCTGGTGAGCAGCTGCCTCAGGCGGACATCGTCCACAGAGGCCCTGGCGAGGGCGCCCTTCTTGATGGCTTTCTGCAGCAGCACTTCCAGGCGCAGCACGAAGGCCGACAGAGGTTCCCCGGGCTGTTGCTGGGCAGAGAGACACTTCACGCGGATGGTGGCCTGGGACCCGTTGTCTCCAAACACCTGGATCAGGGCTGCCAGGCACTCCTGGGCAGTCCTGGCTGGGTTCTCGGCCAGGAGCCCATGTACCAGCTGCAGGGCAGTCCCCCGCAAGCCTTCCATCAGCCTCCTCCTCCTCTCCCTCTCTGAGACCCCCTGCCACGCACGAAGCATGTCGCTGGTGTGGTCTAGCCAGGCCTCAAAGGACTCCTCCCCGGGGTCTGGCTGATCCCGCCCGGAAAACACGCCCAGCCGCTGGTACCTCACCATTTCCACCCAGGGCTGCACGGCCTGGCTGACCGAGTGCAGCCAGCAGTCCGTGGGCAGCCCCAGGCCCAGGGCCCCCGCCGCACTCTCCACCGCCTCCTCCTGTTGCTCCAGGTAGTGGAACACGTGGCCCAGAAACTCCTCCTCGCCCGGACAACCTGGCACGAACACCACGTTCCAGGGGCCCCCGGTGCCTGGGATTTCCCTGGGCACCAAGGCAGCATCCACTTCCCGGTCCAGCTCCACCAGGGCCGCGGTGGCGTTATCCTCCTCGCGGAACACTTTGCCCAGCACGGTAAAGTGGCCCACGGGCCACAGGGCGGCCTCTAGGCACTCTTGGAATTCGCCATCGTCACAGTCCTCGGGGATGCCCAGAATGAGCAGGCCCCGGCGCGCGCTGACGCCCATCCACCTGCACCAGTCCTGCAGCATCGTCACCGCCATCGCTCCGGATTCCAGCCCGGGCTGCGCTGACGCTAGGAGCAGGGAGCCGCCGCTGCAGCAGACCAGGCGGGCTCCCTGGTCCCCGGTGGGCAATGAACTGGGGCTGGAGCCTAGGCCTGGGACAGAGCCGCCCAGGTCTCCAGTGCCTGCGAAGGCGGGGGGGGGGGGGGGGGGGGGGAGGGGGGGGGCGGGAGGGGGCGGGGAGAGGGAGATGAAGGCCCGCCCCCCAGCCCGCCCCAGCCCCGTGCCACCGCCCCCGGAGGCGCCCGTGTTTCCTGTCCCGGGGGACCCCATCCGCGCCCTCCCCCGCCAGTGGGCCGATCCCCGTGGGTCGGGTCGGGTGGGCGTCCGTCCCCGCACCGGCCCCCGCACCCCAGGCTGCCGCAGTGGGTCAGGGCGCGACGCAGGGAGGGCGCCGGGGTTCCGCGCGGACGGCCGCCTCCACCCCTCCCTCCCCTCCTCCTCCCCGCCGCGCGCGGCTCTGGCGGGTACCTTCTGGTGGGGCCGGGGCTTCGTGGCCGTGGCCCGGGTCCGTGGCAGGCGGGGAGCGCACGCACGGGGCTCTCGGGCGGGCTGCGCGCGGCGGCGTGGGCGGTGGGCGGCCCCGGTTCCCGGTTCCCCGGCTCCCCGTTGCCGGTTCCCGGTTCCCCGGCGCGTGCGTGCGTGCGCCCGTGCGCTGCTGCGCGCTCTCCGGCTCGCTCAGCGCGTCTGGCTGTGGCTGTGGCTGTGGCTGTCTGGTTCCGGCACGTGGGCCGGTGCGTCCGCGCCTGCTCGCCACCGCTCTCTGCAGTGCGGACTCGGGGCGGGGGTGCGGCGGCGGCGGCGGCGGCGACGGCGTTGGCGGCGGCTGAGCCCGGACCCTCCGCGTCGCCCTGGAGACCGCCGGGCCATTGGCGCTCGCGGGTCACGGGACCGGGCCGCTGTGTCCGCCGCCACTGCCGCCGCAGGCACGGGGGGCCGCGGGTGACGTCAGCCGCACCGCTCCACGCCCCCCTCCCGCCCAGTCCCGGGTGACCCCCGCCCACCCGCCCGCCCACGTCCTGGGCGTCAAGAACCTGATTTCCAGGACCCCACGCTCCCCCCCAGCCCGGCCCTCCTATCTGGGATCAGCCGCCCGACCCCGCCTCTGGAGACGTAGGATGCGCACTTGTTGCAGTCCCTGCAAGGCCAGGGATGGCGGGACTTCTACTCAGGACCTCCAGAAAATGGCCCAGGGCTGGCAGCAGGGACTTGGGGGCTTTCCAGGCTCTCCCTCAACTTCGTTCCATCCCAGACACTGCTCCAGTCCGTGACCTAGGGGAGCAGTGCCTACCTCCTTTCCCCCCTCCCCCCCGGGCAGAGTGGGGGACAGGGGCGGTGTCCCCTGGAAGGGGTTGCAGTTGTGCTCCCGTGGGCTGCTGCTGCACAGCCAGCGATGTGGGTGCTAGCAGTCTGGCTGGAAATTCGGGACTCCTTGCGGGTCTGGGCCTGCACTGGCGTCACCATCCCACCTGGGCTCCAAGGGCTTTGCTGCCCTGGGGCCAGGGACCAAGGGACAGGATCACAACCCAGCGCTGGGCTCTGCAGGGGCCTCCCCAACTCTACCCTGGGTCCCAAGTGACTTTCCACTGGCCCCCTGCAGCCTGTATCTTCTTGTGACACACAGGTTCAGGTAGGATCTCTGGGACCTCTGCCTGCATTGTGTGGAGCAAGAGGCAAACTGCAGGAAGCACAGGGCCTCAATTTCCACTGCTCTTGGGCCCCTGCAGCTCAACCAGACTTGGTACATACACTGCCCTCTTCTCCCGGACGATAGTGTGGGGGTCCAGCCTCCCCACCAGTCTCCATCTGTCTGGCCTCCTCAGCCACCCACAGGTCCCCAGCCTTTGCCTAGCTGCCTAGGCTAGTAGGCACGGCAGCAACAGAGTGCCAGTGCCCCCTAGGCTGAAAGGGGCCTTGGGTCCCCACGAGTCACACTACCCCGACTCAGACATCTTCCAGTAGGCCTGCGCCATGTGTGCAGCCCCTCTACCGGAGGGGGGGGGGGAGTGGGGGTGAGGGGGAAGGGGAGCCAGGTCACTCACACCTCTGGGTGTGGTGGCCTGCCTGCTGCAGCCCTCTCCTTCCTCGCCTGGCAGGGTACGCTCTTTGGGCACTTTCCCATCTGCCAAGGACCTGGCCCCAGCCACCATGCGGCTTCCTAACAATCAACTCCTCCAGAAGTCATTTCAGCTTCTCTAAGCCCCCATACTGGCTTGGCTCAGGAGATTCACACTGGACTGCTCTCCGTTGGAGCCCTGCCTCCTTGACTCTCTTTTTGTTTCTCCCTGATGTCTTAAGAGGACAACTTAACCTCGCCCCGGTAGAACTCCTTGTGCCTTCCACTCCCAGCCATTCTCAGATTTCTTTTTTTGCGACTGTGGAGCTTGAATTCCAGGCTTGGGCGCATCGCTGAGCTCTTTCACTCAAGAACAGTACTCTACCACTTTGGGCGGCAACTGCGCTTGTGCTTTTCTGATGGTTCCTTGGAGAGAAAGTCTCATGGTCGCCGGGCACCAGTGGCTCACGCCTGTAATCCTAGCTATTCAGAAGGCTGAGATCTGAGGATCGCGGTTCACAGCCAGCCAGGGCAGGAAAGTCCGTGAGACTCTGATCTCCAATAAACCACTAGAAAAACGGAAGTGGTGCTGTGACTCAAGCGGTAGAGCGCTCGCCTTGAGCTGAAGAGAGCAGGGACAGCTCCCAAGCCCACAGTTCAAGCCCCACAACCAAAATAAAAAAAGAGTCTCACAGTCAGTCTTTCCTGCCCAGGTCGGTCGGCTGTGAACTGCAATCCTCAGGTCTCAGCCTCCTGAGCAGCCGACAGGCATAAGACACCAGCTTGTGGCCAGAACCAGCCGTCCTGTCCGTGGGGAAGACGTCGGCTCAACTGATCCCCCAGCTCCCTACTATCCCCACCACACATGTAAACCTTCCCAGGAGCGGATGCCCGTTGAGGTTTGAAGAATAAAGTGTGAGCACCCTCATGTTCTATGATGTAATGATACCCGCATTCCCAGAACACAGGCAAGGCAAACCAGGTCTACACGCTCACATGCAATGTTTTAATGTTATGGGCAAGCAAGACAACAATAATGGGAGGCAAGAACGAACGCTTCTTTTCCCCATTTCTTTATGCCATGATCTCTTCTCAGCCGGGTCCCTTCCATATGCAAGGGAGATAAGCTACTGTGCTGGTTTTGTTCCACACCACGAGAGTACACAGATTCCCAATGGGCTGAGCAGTGAGCCAGACTCACTCTGCCCTCAAAGTACAGCCACAGCAATCAACACGAGACTACTGCCGTCCGTGACCTCCAAGGTGGAAGCTGGATAGCGCTGCCATTGAAAAGGACAGCTGAAACAAAGGTCAACTTGAACATCACCCCAATAGGTGTACCCCATAAATTCCCAAACCCAGACTGGAGCCACACAACAGACAAGGTGGGCTCCTCTGTCCAAACGGAAAAGCAAACAATGGGCCTCATGTGACACCAGGCAGGGACAGACCACTGCCTGTGGCCCTGACCCCTGGCACCCCCCTGTCCCACTGGTCCCCTACCCCCCTCCGCGTAAGTTCACCTAGCCCTGGCCACCATTCATTGCTGGGTGGCCTCTCTCTCCTTCCTCAGAGCCTCTTTGTACAGGGATGAGAAGGAGCTGGGATCGCGCCCGCTGAAATTCACCCACTGCTCCAGCACCTTCATCTTGCTGGTTTCTGCCAGGGCCCTCGGGCCCCACTGGTACACATAGCGAGCGGGATCGCTGTTGGGCACGTGCCGGTACTCCAGGTACTGCTCCTGCACAAAATCTTCCACAAGCTTCCTGGGGTCCCCGTAGGTGTAGTGCTCCCTGCCCGGACACACCCCCATCTTACTCAGCGCCTCCCAGAGCACCTCGTCAGAGACGTGGTTGCCCTCCCTGAAGACAATGCACAGGACCATGATCAGGAAGCCAGTCTTGGGCACGCCCTGGACATCACTCAGCAGCCCATCATACGTGAGCCCCAGGGACGTGGCCAGCACGTAGGCGTCTTCGCCGGGCGCCACTTCCTTCAGCTCAATGCCAAAGACCAGCAGCATGCACTCACAGGCCGTCTTGAAGATCATAGGGAAGAACTCCTGGTGCTCTCTGCTGACAAGGTTCAGAAGCTCCCCTCTGCTGGTTGGCTCCTTCAGGTGGTACTTGCGGAGCAGGAAGGGCACCAGGGCCAGGCCATCTTCCAGCAAGGATTTGGGGTCTACCCGGTCGGCCCAGGGGAACAGACGAGGAATCGCCACGAAGCTTCTGGTGCCCTGATTGACTTGGTTCCACGGAGCACAGACCAAGCCGGTGCGGGGAAGGCAAGCGCTCTGAGGACCAAGGCAGGAGGGTGCCAAGCCGGTGCGGGGAAGGCAAGCGCTCTGAGGACCAAGGCAGGAGGGTGCCAAGCCGGTGCGGGGAAGACAAGCGCTCTGAGGACCAAGGCAGGATGGTGCCAAGCCGGTGCGGGGAAGGCAAGGGCTCTGAAGACCAAGGCAGGGTGGTGCCCAAGCAACAGGCTCCTCCCTTGGGGTGGGGGGCAGCACTGCAGTGGGGAGGGAGAAAGAGGCGGTGGCTCTGGCCTCCTCCTGCTCCCCCCGCTGTGCCTCCTTGCACGGGGCCTGGAGCACGTCACAGGTGGCGGCAGTGGCCATCGCCTCCGCCGCAACCACAGGGACCAGGCCAGCCACCAGGTCCTGCCCCTCCCTTGGCGTCTGGGGGCCTTCCTCACCCTTCCCGCGCTGGCTCTTGGGAACGTAGGGCATTGTGGCCCTCATTGGACACAGCAGGCAGGAAGAAGCGTGGAAAGCCTGGGTAGAGGGGGAGGAGATGGTGAGCGGCCTCAGCCGACAAGGGCGCCCCCAGCACCTCCCACAAGGTCAATGACAAGAAGGCCAAGGACAAGGTGGCAGCCGGTCCTGTGTTGGCAGTGCGCCTGTCTGCTGGAAGCCCGAGGAAGGACGTGGGGTGGTGCCTCGGGGTCCCAGCAGCTCTGAGCGCGTTGCCCTGGCGCTGCGCTGTCTCCTTCGGCCCTGACACCACCCGAGTGCCGTCCCCACTGTGGCCAGAGGACCCCTCCTCCCAGCAAGCTCTTCTAACTCCTGGCCCCTGAAGCTCCTGCCAGAGGCACTGAGATACCTTCCGTGCCACCCCACCTTCCGCACGCCCAAGTCTGCAAGCCCACCACTGCGCAGCCCCTCGACGGGATGGGTGGGCTCTACTGTGCAACGGTCTCCTCTGTCCCGGACTGAGCACCCCTTCCGGGCTCACTCTAGGTTCCCAAATGTCCCCTGGAAGTGACTGGCCCCACATATCCCCCGTGCTGGCCTGAGGCCAACCCCGAGAACAAGGCCCACCCCCGGACACGGACACAAATGGCAGGGAGAGGCCTCACGTGGGGCAGCACCTGTCTAGGGATCGAAAGCAAGACCAGGCCAAACTCAGGTAGGGGCGTGATGGGGATGGGGGCCCTGTCTCCCTGCTCGTCCTGACAAAACGGCAAGAGCCAGACCTGTCCCCTCTGATGCCCTGAGCACGCTTTCCTCAAGCCCTTGACCACGAGACACACAGCAGAAGAGTTGCTGAGGGGAAGACGGTCCACCCACAGTCACAAGGTTTCCTCGCTCCTCACCTTGGCTCCTGGCAGGCAGATGCTGGCCAGCTCCCTCGGCTCTCCCGATGTCTCCTCTCACTGCAAGGCCTCTGGCTTTCCCAGACCTGGGAGACACAGGAAAGGACAGACTACACTCCGAAAGCTCAGCAGGGGTTTTCCCGACCTTCACCAGTAACCCTCAAAGTGTCCTCAAAGTTCCCACCTTTACTTCTCTCCAGGCCTCCGTCCTTCTCCTCTAGGGAGCCACGCATGTGGCTTGCATGTTCAGGCCATCGTCTCCCTGCTTCTTGCCCTCACCTAGTGCAGGAAGCTGGCCACAGCATCTGATTCCCACAGTCCTGCCTGCAGCTACCATGGGCTGACAGGAAGGGCAGTTTTCCCATGTTTGGAACAGGGGTCTTTTGATTCCTCCCCCATCCCCATGGTCTCCAGAAGGCTCTGCAGAAGTTGCTCAGAATGGAAGAGATCTCACAGACCACAAACACACCAGTCTACTCCTCTCACAGACTATTGCGAGGGAAACCTGGACCCTGGTTTCTATTGCTGGCAGTCAGATCATGAGGCCGATAAATCTTTCTCACTGCCACTACTAGTAGCACCCTCTGTTGTCTTACAAAGGAGACAGGCCCTGTGTCATCCACTCTCCACCTCTTCCTTGCACTCTCATGCTGCTCCTCTTCAAGCAAAGGGCCTTAAACCACAGCTCCCTTGTTCGCCTCCTCTAAATAGAGTGATGAGCTATTGATACTGCAAAGAAGATGGCCGGACTCTGAGAAAACTCAAGTCAGGGCCTACATTAGAGAGAAGGAGGATGTGTCCCAGTAAAACAAAAGCATTCAGTGATATTGTGTGTGGGGTCCGGTCCCCACACAGAGCGTGGTCTCCTCCCCCCTCCCCCCCCCCCCGCCCCGATTCCAAGGGACACAATGGTATCATCAGCATTTCCCAGCAGTGGGTCTCAGGAGACATGCCCCATCAAGCAGGAGCCAGAGAGAGCTTCCTTGTAGCTGGAACACAAGAAGCGCCCCTCAGAAGGCCCACATCTAAATTCCCACAGCATCAGCTATTAATGTGGATATTTAACCTTTACACAAAAGAGAAAGTTCTAATCGATATTCAAAATTCTAATAGATCTTCAAAGCTATTTTGGCAACGGCATTCACTTCCCACTTGGGATATTTTGGAGGACAATTTATACATTCCGTTTCACTTCCATGTATACCTAATTACATTCTCCGGTGTGCTAAGTAGAGGGTCATGGGGAAAAGCATGATGATTTAGGTGTGAATCAAGACAGCTTTTTACTTTTTGCAAAGTTCATCTAAATATCCACCCTGCAAACACAAAACATCACTTCAGGAGAACACCGCATCTGCTTCCTTCAATAGCTCCAAATGCATGCACAGCCCTGCAAATCGCATAATCTTGATTTTGAAGGGGGGCATTTTAAAATAAAGTACTTGTACTCACAGTTGGTCTCCATTGAGCCCACTCTCAGGAACACAGCAAGTCACTGATTTCAAAACACATTTTTTTTTTCCTCATGGTCATTCCCAAGGGCTGAAATCCTGGTCTCTCATGGCTATCACTGTACCACTAGAGTCATTCCTCCCCTTCTGGCTTTCGGCTAGTTCCATGGAGGTAGGAGTATAGGAAATCTGTCTGCCCAGGCTGGCTTAGAACCTGCTTTCTCAGCTATCCCCCTCCTGAGTGGCTAGGGTAATGGCAGGCATGAGCACCAGCACCCAGCATAGCACAACTTTTTCTTTCCTTAGGTTTTTTATTTTGTTATTTTTATATGCTGATCCTGGGGCTTGAACTCAGGGCCTTGCAGTTTCACTTTGCTTTTTGCTGTCAAGGCTGGTACGGTTCCACTTGAGCCATAGCTCTGCTTCTGGCTTTTTGCTGGTAAATTTTAGATAAGATTGTTATGGGCTTGTCTGCCTGAGGTTCCCTTTGAAATGCGGATCCTTAGACTCAGGATTCTAAATAGCTGGGATTACAGTCTTCTTCTGATTGTTTATGTTTCCTTGTATCTGAAGAACCGCCACACTGGGCCAAGTAGAGGTGATTTTTAGTTAAATTTGAACAAATCCGCTGACAAAACTCAAGGAGAATACAGGAGAGCAACAAAGAGTGCTCTCAGAAAATACACATAAACACCTAAATGAATAGAAAGGTCAACAGGAGTCATGCAAAAGGAACACAAGAAAGATTCAGACGTTCTGGAGGAAACAAGACATAGCTAAAATCCTAGAGAGGAAAAAATGCGCTTAAAAGCCTCTCCAGCAGAGGAGATGAAGTGGAAGCCAGACTATCAGAACTTCCACATGAATGGGACAGTACACAAGTCTTTTTGAAGGCAGACATAAAAGAATGGTGAAATGCCTAAGTTCTCCAGGACAGAATTAAAAGACCTAATGTACGAATGATGGGCATAGAAGAAGGAGAAGTGTCAGCTAACAGCATAGGGAACGTTTCCATTAATAGCTGAAAACTTGCCAAATCTTGCGATAGAGGAAACCATCCAGGTATAAGCCGCCTTTAGCGCTCCAAATAGACAAGACCAGATGAGAGCCACTGCACAGCTGGCTCTATTTAAACAGGAAGTCCAAAGCACACAGAGTAAAATAGTACTTCCAAGAGAACAAAAACCCACGTTACTAAATAATGCAGGCCCACAAGGGTAACGGCAAACTCTACACAGAATCTTTCAAAACAAGGCAGGATTAGAGGCCTGCTGTATTAGAGGCCTGAACAACTGCTCACCCACATTATTTCACCCAGCCAGCAAAGATAACATTCATAACTGGGAAATACGAACAAACATCCATGGCAGGCAAAAACTAAAGCAAGTTCAGGACCATCTAACCAGCACTGCACAGTGCGCTCAAGGGGAGAAAATAAAGCTTATCGTGAATAGTAAAGAAGTTCAAAAAGTAGCAAAAGAGCAAATACCACAGAAACAAATAATGGCAGGCGTTACTCCGTATGATATGTTCAGCATTGACACTGAACAATACTGTCTTCAGTCTCTAGCCAAAAGAAATAGATTAGTGCACAGAATGGAAAAAGGAATCCCAAACCCCTCTACAGACCAAAATTACATCTCACAGACAAAAGCCAACACTGGGTTAGTATGGAAGGTTGGAAGAGAGATCTCCTAAGCACAAGTTATCTTAGAAATTTGTTACGTACTCTTATTTGTGCAAATATGTTACCCAAAGCAAAAGACTGAGTATGCATAACAATTCTCGAGATATATGTGTCTATTGTCCTTGCCCCCAACTTCAGTTAACAAATGCTAAAGTTAAAAATATACTGAGACTCTTCCCCCCCCCCACCCCACACAATCATAGTGGCACATTGTGCAACCAATCTCACCAACAGAACGAACACCTATACCTACGAAAGCATTTTTGAAGAAGGAACTTGTGAAAATTACATGTCATTAGAAGCCAAATTGTGAGGTCAGGCGTCTTCAAAGAAGTTTCTCCAGCAACTGCACAATACACATTCTTCTCAGCAGCCTGTGGAACTTTCTGCAAGGTGAATCAACTTGGAGGACCTCAAGTATGCCTTAGCAAGTATAATATAGTTGCAATCACTGCCTGTGTGCTTTGGACCATCATGGAACCAAAGGCGAACTCAACACCAAGACAAAGCCTAAGAGATGTCACTTGTAGGCAAAATGGGTGGAATTGGAGTTTACCCTGCTAAGACACATCAGCTGGTTCTGAAAGACAAAGGCTGTCTTGTTTGTGTGTCACGTGGAGAAGCTATGCCTAAACCATACACACGTGTGTAAATACACAGAGGACCTCACATAACTACAGAGGGAAAACCTTTATAACTTTCGGCCCGCCTGACCACGTGGCCTGCTGCGCCAGCCATCTCAGCGTAAATGGCTTCCTTTCTTTGTGCGCATGTGTAGGATGGGGCCTCGTGGAGGCCTGAGAGGAGATCGCAGGGCTTGGCTTGCACCGGTGAAAAGGCAGACATAATCTCCACTCTCAGCTCCCATCTGGCCCTCCCGGACCTTTCCCGAGACTAGGCGGATGCCTAGGTGCACATCCTGGCCGACCTAAGGGGCCTGGGTGGGACCTAGGCCCAGGCCCATGGGATGCTGGGAACACGGCCTCAGGGAGCTGC